TCCGGCGCGCGCACCAGTTGGCCCACGCGTGTGTGCGTGTGTACATGCATGCGTGTGTGTGCGTGGGTGCATGTGCATGCATGTGGGTGAATGTGTGTGCATGGGTGCGTGCATGCGTGTATGTGTTTGCATGCGTGTGTGTGCGTGTGTTTGTGTGCATGCATGGGTGTGCATATGCGTGTGCATGTGTTTGCGTACGTGTGTGTGCGTTTGCATGCATGTGTGCACATGTGTTTACGTGCATGTACATGTGTGTGCATGTGTTTGTGTGCATGTGCGTGCATGTGTTTGCGTGCATGTGTGTGTGCATGTGTCTGCATGCGTGTGTGTGTGTGCATGTGTTTGGGTGCATGCATGTGTGCATGTGCTTGCATACATGTGCATGTGTTTGCGTGCATGTGTGTGTGCATGTGTTCGCATGCATGTGTGTGTGCACATGTGTTTGCGCATGTGTTTGTGTGCACGGGTGCATGCATGTGTGCTTGTGTTTGCGTGCATGTGTGCGTGTACGTGTGTGTATGCGTGTGTGTGTGTGCATGTGTTTGGGTGCATGCATGTGTGCATGTGCTTGCATACATGTGCATGTGTTTGCGTGCATGTGTGTGTGCATGTGTTCGCATGCATGTGTGTGTGCACATGTGTTTGCGCATGTGTTTGTGTGCACGGGTGCATGCATGTGTGCTTGTGTTTGCGTGCATGTGTGCGTGTACGTGTGTGTGCATGTGTTTATGTGCGTGTGTGTGTGCATGGGTGCATGCGTCTGTGTGCGCGTGTGTGCATGCGTGTGTGTGTGTGTGTGTGCGTGTGTTTGCATGGGTGCGTGCATGCGTGTGTGTGTGTGTGTGCGCGCGTGCATGTGTGCGTGCATGTGTGTGTGCATGTGTTTGGGTGCATGCATGTGTGCATGTGCTTGCATACATGTGGCGGCCGAGGGGGAAAAAAAAAAAAAAAAAAAAAAAAAAAAAAAAACCCAGATATCCCCTTTTCTTTCAAGTTTGGGGGGGGGGGTTAATTTCTTTTTCACGACTGCACGGCGAATCTGTGTCAGAAAGCAGCGCTAGCGGCCACGCGCTGGGGGCTTTCGGGGGATTCCTGCCCCTCTGGGGGGCTTTCGCTTCGGTGCAAACCTTGACCCGAAACACCTGGAAAGGTGCAAAACGCATTTGCTTTTTTATGTTGGCGACAGCAGCTGCCTCCTCTCCGCGGGGCCCTGCTTGTCCTTGGAGGGTGTCCTGTTCCGGGCGGGGGGCGCCGGGGGACGGGGACCCCT